TTATTAGTATATAATTTCTTATTGACAAATAATAATGAAATTAAAAATAAAGACGATTTTAGGATAATTTAGAGTTTATTAACATCATTTTAAAATAGACAATATCGAAATCTCAAATTTAGTTTTTATAAGTAAATAAGAATTTATTTTTTTTAAAGATTTTTAGTCAAAGATATCTTAAAAAGATAAATTTATTTAAGTGATCAATCACATTTTAGATAAAAAAAAATTAGTAACAACTCTTTTATTTCTATCAATAAATTTTTAAATTTGTACATTATTGCAGCTATTTCCATAAAAAAAAAATAAGTTTTAATTTTACGAACTTGGTTTTGTGATAATTGGATATTTGATATGATCGATATGGATCAACCAGAACCACCAATTTTAATTTACAATAAATAAATAAAAATTTAATCATATTAAATTAAATTTACTATATATAATTTCAGAAAACCCTAAAAAATGAAAGACGTTTTTTCTTTGTGCTTTCAGTACACTTGAAAACTAAAACTTCAATATTCACCGAGCGTTCATGCTCCTGAGAAAGAAGCCGTTCAAAGTGATTGAAAAAAAAGGCTTTAATAAGTTTTAAACATGCTTACCAAGCCGTTCATGCTCTTGGGGAAACAAGCTGTCCAAGTGATGATAATAGATATTTTGATTGAGTTAGTATTTGATACAATTGTTAGTATAAATTTTTAATCTTACAAACAGAGTTAAAAAAATTTATAACATGTCTTTATTTTTATTTTTAATTATTTTTAATTTTTAAAAATATACTTTATGGATATGCATTACTCTTGTAACCCGATTATAAAATCTAAAATTTCACTAATAGTAAATAAAATAATTTCTCATTTGATAGTAAAGTTTGTAAAGGACATTTTAACGAATATTCGGAACAACACATCCCAAATACGACAAATTTAATATCCAAAGAATTAGTAAATGTGATTTTTTCACTATTTGCATGATGTTTTTTAGGTTTATGAAAGTTGTTTTGGGTTTCAAACTTAAAGTTTTCAGTGCATTTGAAAAATAGAAAGCATGGTTTATTGCTTTGGAGATTAAGAAGTTACCTATGAATTTAATTTAACTTCGATTAAACTTTCATCAAAGAAAAATTAAATTTGCCCAATTAAAGTATTTTTGGTAATTTTTAATTATTATGAATTAAAAATTTAATGGCTATTGTTAAGTCCGTGGGATCAGAACTCAATTTCCAATAGCCAGGACTAAAAATTTTACGAAAACGCTGATTAAAGAATATTTATAGTTTTGTACAAAAAAGGGAGAATCTTGCTAACCGATCACTAGTTGATGATGTGCAGAAGAAAGTTAATGGACTGAAGCCAATTGCAGATGAACTTGGTGTACCTTTTAGCTCAGCTTGCAAATGCATGGTGTGCTGCAAATCCCAATGTATCATCAGTTATTACTGGTGCTACAAAGGAATCTCAGGTTAGTATTTTATGTAACTCATTATTTTATATCTTATTTTTGTGGATCACTATATCAATCTAAATGCGTTTGCTTTGGCTGTGAGAAGCTTCATGAAAGCAATGGTAAACTCATATTTTTCCTACTGGCAATATAAAATTTTGCTGTTTGGTATGCATTCATGCACTTGAATATGTTATATTATGTTTGATATTAGAAGAACGCACTAGATGACACTGAATAATTTTGCCCCCAAACAGGGGGAAATTTATTGAGAAGGTCATAGATTAATCAGGGATGATAGTTGTTTGCAAATATGACAGCAGGTGATAGGATTGCGACCTACGCCCTATGGAGTGATATGTTCTATAAGGTTTATAGACATATCCCCTTTATGGCTATCTTTTGTGAATAAATGAATAGCTGCCATTTTTGCCAGCAGGCTAAGACATTGTGGGTAAATACTCAGATCTAAACTTGTAAAATTGATGGAAATATGGTTACAAGAAGTTTCAATCTAATGGTTCAACTTTTCCTTCTTTTTCTTTTTTCTCTTTCTTGTTTTTATTATTTTAGCTGATGGAGTAGCAAGGTAAATGGGTAGGTTTGCAACCCAAAAATACATGTTATGGATATTATCCTTATTTCATTACAATTTAAAATTTCTCTGTTAAAAGGATTATCTCGAAAGGGGGAAAAAAG